TTTTGTAGAAGGGGGAGATTCTGGCAACAGGGAAGATCAGATCAACAGACTTATTAGAAGGATGAACTAAGGTATCCACCACCATGATAGTTTTTATAATCTGGTCAGTAAATAAATAGTGGCTATTTTCAGACTGAAAAAAAAAAGTGTGTATATATATATGTATATATATATATATATATATATATATATACATATATATACACACACACACACATATATACACAAACACATACACAACACATACACATACATACATACATACATACATACTGGGGCAAACAGGTAATGTGATAGTTAAGGCACTGGACCCCCACATGGTCAACCACAGTTTTTGAGTCCCTGACCCAATAGCTTGAAAATCACATTGGGCACATGTGTGTACATACCCAAAATCCTAAAATGAGACTGGAAGAGACAGGATTGCAGCCATTCTCCCTGTGAGGTAATTTCTCTTTCTCTCTCTCTTCCTTTCTCTCTCATGAGTGTACACTCCCTACAGCAAAAAAAAAAAAAAAAAAGGCAAAAAGACAAAATGAAGAAGAAAACTGTAGTGTCTTCTTACCTGCCAGGCAGAACTTTTATGGTACCAGGCAATCTTTCCAAGAGCTTCTGTTGGCTTTCTTAAGATCTGACTTAGTTCCTTAGCTTTCTGGTCATAACTTCAGATATGACATTCCAGTCAAAGCCCTGGCAATAACCAGTATTTCCATTTTCTGATGCAAGGCAACAGATACTATTGAACTTATGTAAATAGCCATTCTGCCACAAAATAAGAATACTCACAAATATTTTCCAATTCCAGAAGGGTCAAGAAAGGAGAAAAGTTTATGTTTCAATTTTTTTTAAAGTTTTTTTTTTAACTAATTGCTGAACCTACCAACAGCTCAAAAGAAAATAACAGTCCTTAAATCTGGAAAGCAAAGCACAGAAGAAAATCAGTAATGTTTTAGTCAAAAGTCATAAAATTTTATTTCACCAAGTCATTCTCATGTAATTAATCTCTCTTCTGTTGAATGTGCAGTGTTACTGTGGTCTGATCTTTCTATTTAAATTCTGGAAGTTAACATGCAACATTATTATCATTATTTCCAGACTTGTCTCTACCATTAAGTTGGCCATTTTCTTGATTGTTTTTTGTTCTCTTATTTCTCTCTGTCTGACTTCAGTTTTCCTGGTATAGCACTCCCTTCAGAACTTCATGAAGAGCAGCCTGGTGTTGGTAAATTCTTTCAGGTTTTGTTTATCTGAGAATGTTTTTATCTTTTCTTCCCATCTGAAGGATGATCTAGTCCGGTATAGTATTCTTGGTTGAAATTGTTTTTCCTTTAACACTTTGAATATATTTCCCTAATGTTTCCTTGCCTGAATTATTTCCGATGAGAGGTCTGATGTTAACTTGATGAGACAACCTTTGTAAGTAACTTGATGTTTCTGGGAACCAGCAGTTAGCATAATGGCTATGTCGCTGGACTCCCACGTAGTTGACCGCGCGGTTCGCGTCCTGGACCCAGTGGCTTAGAACTCACATCAGGCGCATGTGCATGCGTGCCCAAGATCCCGAGAGGAGAATGGAGGAGAAGGGATTGCGGCATGACCATCCCCCCTGGGGGTGATTTCTCACTTTCTGTCTCTATGTCTCTCTCTGTCTGTCATTGTTTCTGATGAGAGGTCTGATGTTAACTTGATGAGATAACCTTTGTAAGTAACTTGATGTTTCTTTCTTGCAAATTTTAGTATCTGGTCTTTGTGGTTTGGGCCAATCTGGCTATTTTATGCCTTGGAGAAGATCTTCCTGGGTTGATTCTATTTGGAATCCTTTGTAATTTTTAAAGTCTAGATATTTGAACACCTTTCTAGGATTGAAAAGTTTGCTTACAGGATTTCATGAAATAGATTATCAATGCCTTTATTATTTTCTTCACCTTCTGGGATACCATTTATCCAGATGTTTGGTTGCTTAATGGCATCTAGTACTTCTCATATATCATCCTCATTCTACTTAGTTATTTTCTCAGTCTTTTTAATAATTTTTTCTAGGTCAGAGGTTTTTGTCTTCTACATTTGAGAGTCAATCTTTTTCATGATTTAATATGTTCTTTAAAATATTTAATTTATTCACTCATTTATTTTTAATTTGACCAGAGAAAGATAGAGAGAAAGAGGAAAAGTGAGAAAGTAAGCCACCAGGTCCATGATTCAAACCATGGCCAGCCATGTGAGAGTGTCCAGAGCCTTAATTACCATGCCACCTGCTGGTCCCTTTAATCTGCTCTTAATACTTTCGAGGGAGATTTTTATTCCCTGTATTACAGTCTTCATCTCTAATAATTTCATCTAATTTTTTTTATGATGTCTATTACTTCTTTCAAATCATAAAAGGACTTCCTCATCTGGAGCTTGTTGTCTCTTTTCTCTTGAATCTTCTGGAGTTCTGTTGTCTCTTTTCTCTTGTATCTCATTTAGTTTTGTTATTATAAATGTTCTGAATTGTTTATCTGACACTTCAAGAAGCTTCATAGTATTGTCTGTGGATGATGAGGAATTGATATTTTCCCTTGGGGGAGAGATATTTTCTTAGTTTCTCATCATTCTTGTGCCTCTGAGATGGTTTCTAGTCATCAGGTGGATTATACATTTCTTCCTAAATTCTTCAAGTTAATCCTGAGTGTTCAAAGCCAAGCAGGAGGAGGTGATTGGTGATTTCTCTGCTGCTCTACCTTCCTGATGTTCAGCCAACAACCTCCACTGTTGCCTCTGGACTTTGGTAATTCAAAGTCCTCCCAGTTTCTAGATAACAGGTACACCTGGGGCTGAGCTGCTGAGTTTCAATTGAGGAAGAAAGAAGGGGTTGCCCGGTATACACTTCAGAAAGCCCTGAAGTCTGAGAATTGAGAGGTGTGTGGCAGAGATGAGTGAGTTGGGAGGCAGGAAGAAACCTAGAGTGGTCTCCTGCATTGGCTTCCCTCACCAATTGCTGCTACCCTGGTCTGCAGCACCAGGCTCTGGAGAAAATGATGGCAGATGTATATACCTGGGACAAGTTGGGAGGCAAAAATAAGCCTGGGAGCAGTCCCCTGTATTGGCTTCCCTCACCAAGTGCTGCTTCTCCCTGATCTTTTTCATAAAATATTCTCTAATTAAAGAATACTCTGATATAATAGATTTTTTTACTTTATACATCTAATATCCCCCTTCTATCTACCCCACAAGGTTACAGTTAAGATGGAAAAGATAATATATGAGAAAACACTTTGAAAAATATAAAATACTATGAAATGAATTACAAGTTGTCTCCCACAATTCATCAAAGGATACTATAGCCATAATGACCTAGAGAGTTCTTTGTAGAGTACATACAAACGTAAATGCCTTATAACATTTTCTTTGTTGAAGGCAATTTACTGTTTATAAGAAACAAAAGTGTCAAACTAAGAACTGCCCCTTTCCTATCTCCTGTTCCTTTTTATGTTATTTATCAGCCTCTATATTCCCATATCTATAAGATATTGTAGGGCAAAAAGTGATCTTATTTTTGAATTAAAAAATTATTTTCACAGCAACACTGTCCTTTGTTTCCCTAAGTATTTCAAATTGTGACTGAAACAAAAAGGGCCAAAGATACATTACACAGTCGGGAAACACAAATCAAAAAACCACAGAGATAATCACTATGCATCCACAAGAATGACCAGAATCAGGAAGTCAGATAATGAGTGCTGACAAGGAAGTGGAGTAATTGAAACCCTGAAACACTGGTGGTAAGAATGTAAAATAGTATATCCACCCACTTTGGAAAACAGTCTTTTAGTTTTTAAATTATTACCATATAACCCAGAAATTCAACTCCTGGACATATACCAAAGCAGATGAAAACAGGTCCACACAAATGCTTGTACATGAATGTTTACAGTAGCGTTACACCTAACCATGGTGATGAGGTCCAGAGTGCACTATCTTAAAACATGGCACTTTGGAATCTGACATTTTTCTATGTTTTTCTATGCAAAAATGTGTCATGACTTTTCCAACAGCCCAAAACATCAATTCAGTTCCCTTTTATCAGTCTTATTCTACTCTGAATTCTTACTCTTCATACTTTTACTATATCCCACAAATCACTCAAGGCACATTTCAAAGCTCCACATCATCCATGAAGGATTTGTGGAGAACTACAAATACAAGCGATTTCCTGTATTTCCTAACCACTTTTAGGACTGTCTGTGCTACATATCTTAGCATTTGATTTACATGCCACTCATCTTGGCATTTGACTTACCTGTCAAATATTTCAGCTTTTGATTTACTTGCCATCTTATTGTATATCATTTTATTATTTCATAAGATACATCTTATTTCATCTTATTTCAATAAGACTGTCACCTTAAGACAAGGACTATCACTTTTCTGTATTGCTGAAACCACACAGCACAGTGCTAGACCCAAAATACACTCCTGAAACTTCGAGAATTAAAAAGCTGTTTCAAGATATATTTAACTGTGAACTGTAACTCACCATCATATTTCCCACAATTTTACATACCTTTCTACTATAAATGCAACTAATAAACCCAATGTCCAAAAGGTGAAATATAGTACCTTATCATATTGACAGACAATTACATTATCCGTGTCAAACAGGTCTGGCACATCCTGCTCACTAACATCATCTCCAGAATTTAAAGGGTCCTAAAGATGAAAAATGATCACATAAAGGAATTTCATTATGCATCAAAAATTTTTTTAAGATAATAGAAACATGTAGAAATAAACAAATGTGGGAAGACAGAATAGTATTGTACTTAAAAGTCAAATAATCTGGATATGAGTCCTAGCTTGGCCACTTCAGTAATTATATGACTGACCTTGAGCAAGTTAATAAAACTTGCCCACAGCAGTTTTCTCATCTGCAAAATGAGGATAGTAATAAGGCCCATGGGATACTGGGACTTTTACACAGGATAAGGCAGGTTAGACTTAGTAGGATACCTGGCACATATGTAAGGCCACCATAAATAATAAGCTGATACTACTTAAACAGTTCTTAGTGATCATATTCCATACAGATCTTAATACATTTATTAGAATTAGCTAGCCCCCAAAGTGCTAGCAGGTGGCATGGTGGTTAAGATAGCTGGATCCCACATAGACCTGACAGCTTGGAAAATCATGCTAGGCATGTACACATACATGATCAAAACCCCAAAAGGAGGGAGAAACAAAGGGGAAAGGATTGCAGCATGACCTTCCCCAACAGGGGATGCATTCTCACCCCAACCCTTCACCCCAACTCTCTGGTGAGTACACTCACCCTCTGGCAAAATTTTTTTAAAAAAAGAAGTGAGTTTGTATAAAAATGTGTGCTTCTTCACAGGTTGCTATCTTGAACCTTCACTGCCATCCCCTAAACCTCTCACTATCTGTATTAGACCAACAAACATAGAGTTAGATTTTTAAATTACAGTAAGATTAAAAAGTTAAACCCCAGGATAATATTTAATACAAGTAAGTCTCATTTTAAATACTAAACATAAAATTAATCTTATTATGCCTCTTGGTTCTAAAATGTACTAAAGTACAAATTTTATAAATTGATAAAGTCTCAATTCAAAAGTGATCCTCACCTCTTCCACGATGTCGATGTGATGGTCTTCATTATCACTACTGTTTGCAGTTGAATCTTCATTTGATACACTGTCAGCTTCTTCAAGTACCTTCCGATCTCCTGCATCAGTAATCCCTAGAAATTCGTTCTCATCTACATCTTTTATACTTTCTATTTCCTCATTGGAAGAAGTATCATCAGTCCCATCTATTTGAATAATTTCATTAATATAATCACCAGTTACCTGAATGCTTAAATCCATTTGAGAATTAGAACCCTAAAAGGAGAAAGAAAAATGCAATAAAGTTCTTCAATCAAACAAGGTAAATAAAATGTTGAACCAGAATTTAAAATTAATTTAGCAAACATTCCACAAGTGGTCACTTAAAAACATTATTTCTGCCTTGTAAGATGATGCTCCCTTGGGGCTAGCAGGTAGTGTGGTGGTTAAGGTGCTGGACTCTCACATAGCAGACCATAGTTCTAGTTCCAGATCTTGTGACTTGCTTTCTCACTTTCCCCTTCTCTCTCTTGTCTCTCTCTGGCCAAATTTAACAATAATAACAACAAAAAAAATTTAAATAAATAAATAATTCTTTTTAAAAACTGCATGTATTTCAAAAATTTTTGCACCAAAACAACTTTGTATTTAATTCCATTTTTCCATAAGCTTTTTGAAGTCTCCTTGTACATGGACAAATATAAAACTCAGTATCATAAGTATGGTTCATAACTCCTTTTATCCTTCTATAGTCCTTAAAACGTGAAAGCATAAAAATAATTACAAATCCATGTTAATAGATGCATCATAGATAAAGATGCAATCTATGACCAAAATAAGATAAGGTGAGAAGGGAAAAACTGTAAAGGAGTAAATGTTTTGCATATGACCAAATTTAAGACTTAAATTGTTAAAACTTCAAGATATATGTAATCCTTGGGAACTAGCAGTTAGCATAATGGCTATGTCGCTGGACTCCCACGTAGTCAACCGCGGTTCGCGTCCTGGACCCGGTGGCTTAAAACTCATGCCGGACGCGTGTGCATGCATGCCCAAGATCCTGAGAGGAGAATGGAGGAGAAGGGATTGCGGCATGACCATCCCTCCTGGGGGGTGATTTCTCGCTTTCTGTCTCTATGTCTCTCTCTGTCTACCTGGCGAGCGCACGTGCCCTATAGCAAAAAACCTCTCTTAAAAAAAAAAAAGATATATGTAATCCCCATGGTAACCACAAAGAACATATCTATAGAATACACACAAAGGAAATAAAAAAGGAATCAAAATGTATCACCCCAAAAAATAATAATAATTAAACACAAAGGGAGGCAGCAAAGGTAGGAATAAAGGGAAAAAAAAAACTAGACATACAAAAAACATATAACAAGATGGCAAGAGTAAGTCCATTCCTATCAGTAATTACTTTAAACGTAAATGGATTAAATTCCACAATCAATAAACACAAAATAGTAGAAAAGATATAAGAAATAGGATTCAATTATACATTATCTACAAGAGACTAACTTTAGACCCAAGGAGATGAATATGTTAGAAATGAAAAGAGAACCAACAGATGGCATAATGGTTACATTAATGGACTCCCATGTAGTTGGCTGCAGTTCCAGTCCCAGACCTCGTGGCTTAAAACTCATGTCGGGTACGTGTGCACACGTGCCCAAAGTTCTAAGAGGAGAATAGAGGAGAAGGAACTATGCCATGGCCAACCCTTCTGGAGGGTGATTTCTCACTTTCTGTCTCTGTCTCTCCAGTGAGCACACACGCCCTATAGCAAAATCTCTCTCTCAAAAAAAAAAAAAAAAAGATAAAAAGACAGAAGAATAAACTCCATGCAAATATTAACCAAATGAGAGCTGTGGTAGGTATGTTTCTACAGACAAAATAGACTAAGTCAAAAACTGTGGACTTAAAAAAAGAGAAAAAACATCATACAGCAATAAAGGAATCAATTCACCAAGAAAATGTAACAATTATATTGGATCATTAGAAAAGTCATGATATATTTTTATGTTTTTCTATGCAAAAAATGCATAATAACTTTTAAGACAACCTAATAAATATATTTGCAGCAAACACTGGATTCCCAAAGATATGCAACAAAAAATGACAGAATTAAAGAAGAAAATAGCTCTATAAGAAGAGACTTCAATAACTCACTTTTTTTGAGACAGAGGTTTTTGCTATAAGGCATATGCACTTGCCAGAGAGAGACAGAGAGAGAGAAAAGTGCAAAATCACCACCACCACAGGTGGAATGCAATGCCACAGGCCCTCCTCTTCCATTCTCCTCTCAAGATTTTGGGCAAGCATGAGCACTCCTCTGGCGTAAATTTTAAGCTACCAGGTCTGAGACTTGTACAGCAAAAAACTGGATAAGCTATATGAAACAAATTCCTAGGAACCCACAACCTAAATCATGAAGAAAAAGAAAATATGAGCAGATCTATGAACTATTAAAGAAAATGAATTAGTAATAAAACAAAATATCCCTACAAAGAAAGATCCAGGACCAGATGACTTCACTGGAGAATAATACCAAACATCTAAAAAAGAATTAACACCAATCCTCCTCAAACACTTCTGACAAACTGAAGAAGTTACTTTATGACACAAGCATTAAAAAGACACTACAAGAAAACTACAGACCATTAGATTAATGCTGACACCAAAATTAAATAACAGATTAATATTGATGCAAAAATAATCTACAAAAAATTAGCAAACAGAGTGCCTTCTTTCATCACTTCACTTCAACATAGTATAAAAAGTACAAGCTAGGACAACTAGGGTAGAAATAGGTATCTAAATCAGAAAGAAGTAAAATTATTCTCATGACATATTTTTATATGTAGAAAATTCTAAAGATTACACACACACACACACACACACAGATTAGAACAAAAAATGAATTTGGTGAAGTTTTAAAATACCAATTCTATGCACAAAAAGCTGTTGCATTTCTATACACTAACAATTAACAACCTCAAAAGGAAATTAAGAAAACAATTCCATTTTTAATAGCATCACAAAGAATAAAACACAGAAATAAACCTAACCAATGAGATGAAGACTTATATACTGAAAACTATAAAATGTTGCCAAAAGAAATTAAGGAAGACACAAATAAATGGAAAACATCATGTGTTAATGAATTATAAGACTTAATATTGTTAAGATGTCAGTACTGTCCAAAGCCATCTAAAGATTCAATATCTATCAAGTTTTTCCTATTTCTATTTGCAGAAATAGAAAAATCCATCCTACAATAATGAGGAATTCAAAGGACCCAGAAACCAATCAATCTTGAAAAAGATTACTATAGGGTACATGTACTCACTGGAGAGATAAAAGAGGCAGAAAGTGAGAAGTCACCAAGAACCACCACCAAGTTGGAAGTCTTACACTTTCTGATTTCAAAACTTACTACACAACTACTGTGGTTGGCAATAAAGAGAAATACATCAATGGACTAGAGACCCCAGAAATAAATCTTCACATATATAGTCAAATGATTTTGAAAAAGGGTGACAAGAACGTTCAATGGGGAATGGATGGTCTTTTTAAACAAATGATGCTGGGAAAACTAGGTGTCCACATGCAGAAGGATAAAGTTGGACCTTTTTTACCATACACAAAAAATTAACTCGAAATGGGTCAAATATCTAAACACAAAAGCAGTTTTGTAAAATTCAGAAGAAACTAAGGGAAAGTTTTACTGGAAAAGTTGCATGACATTAGATTTGGTAATGTATTGTATGACATCAATATCATAAACAGCAAAAAATAAATAAATAAATAAAATTAACTTCATCAGCATTAAAAACTTCTGCACATCAAAAGCATACTACTGATGGACTAAAGACACCCCACAGAACAGGAGAGAATATTTTCAAGCTATGCATCTGATAAAGATTAATGCAGAATTTATAAAGAACTATAATTCACCAAAAAAGAGAGAAAGCAACCCAGTTATAAAACGGGCGAGGAGGGTTTGGGACCAGCAGATGGTGTAGAGTTTACATCACTGGACTCCCACATGGCCGACTGCAGTTTGAGTCCCAGACCTGGTGACTTGGAGCTCACACTGGGCATGCATGCACATGCTCAAGATCCCAGGAGAAAAACAAAGGAAAAGGCATTGAGGTGTGGCCATCCCCCTGTCAGGGGGCAGGGAGCTGAATGCTCACTTTCTGTCTCTCTGGTGAATGCACATGCCTTGTAGCAAAAATCTCTTAAAAAAAAAAAGGGGGGGGATGGCAGCCAGTGGCATGGTAGTCAAGGAGGCTGGATTCCATATGGCTAACTGTATGGTTCAAAGACCAGCCAGCTTGAAAAACATGTGTGTGCGTGCATGCTCAAAACCCCAAGAGGGAAAATGGAGAAGAAGGGATTATGATGTGGTCATTCCCCGCTGGGGAGTTATTTCTCATTTCCTCTCACCTTTCTCTTTATATCTCCCCCAACACACACATACACACACACACACACACACACACACACACACACACATGAGCACACATGCTCTATGGCAAATTTTTTCCTAAATGGGCAAGGGGGCCAGATAGTGGCACAGAGGTAAAACCTGACCAAGACTGAACAACATGGGGGAATTCCATGTTTGTATCCAGAGACCTCCCTAGTACATCAGGCATGCCTGTTATCATGATCAGAGCTGGCTAAAGCTGGGATTAAATCAAGGCTTCAGGATTCTGGTTGAGGATAGTTTCTATCTTTCTTGCTCATGGGGGAAATAAACTTTTTTAAATGAGTAAAGAATATGAATAGACGTTTTGTCAAAGAAAATATACAAATGGCCCAAAGCATGTAATAATCGTTAGGGAAACAGAAATCAGAACAATGAGATAGACCTTCAAACCCATTAAGATAGCAATTATCAAAAAATATTGGTGAGGATGTGGAAAAATTGGAAAGCCAGTACACTGCTGATGGGAATGTACACTGGCAGACTCTATGGAAAACAGTATGACTGTTCCTTATAAAATTTGTAAAACAATTGGCATATGATTCAGTACTTCTTGGTCCATATCAAAAGAATGAAAAGCAGAACTTCAGATACTTGTACATTTATACCCACATTATTCATAATAGCCAAAATATGGAAGCATCCCAAGTGTCCATAGACAGATGAATGGATAAACGAAATCTGTATATACATAAAATAGGCTATTATTCAGCCTTAAAGAGGAAGGAAATTCTGGCACATGCTACAAGAGAGATAAACCCTGAAGACAGTATGCTAA